TGCGACGCTGTCGCCGCTGTCGTGGGCTCCTGGGAAATCCAGCGGAGGGACGTTTTATTATGATCAGATGAGACCTCGCCGTCGCTGAGGGCTGCGAACTGCGAATCCGTCACCACTGTCGTGGCCTACTGGGTGCGAACTGCGAAATCTGACGAAACGTTCGTGGGCTCCTGTGAAGGCCAGCGGAGTGACGTCCTAGTCAAATCAAACGAAAACTCTCCGTTGCTGGAGGCTGCGAGCTGCGAAACTGTCGCGGGCCCCTCGGAGATCCAGCGGAGTGACGTCTTTTCAGATCAACTGAGACCTCGCCGTCGCTGGGGGCTGCCGAACTGCGAAGCGCCCGCCACTTTCGTGGGCTCCTGGGGGGTCCAGCGGAGTGACGTCCTTTTCAAATCAGATGAGACCTCGCTGTCGATGGTGGCTGCGAACTTCGAAACTTTCGCCACGTTCGTGGGTTCCTTGGAGGTCCAGCGGACTGACGTCCGGCTCCTGCCAGGTTCAACGGAGCGACGTCCTATTCAGATCAGATGAGACCTCGCCGCCGCTGGGGTTTGCGAACTGTGAAGATGTCGCCACGTTCGTGGGTTCCTTGGAGGTCCAGCGGACTGACGTCCGGCTCCTGCCAGGTTCAACGGAGCGACGTCCTATTCAGATCAGATGAGACCTCGCCGCCGCTGGGGTTTGCGAACTGTGAAGATGTCGCCACGTTCGTGGGTTCCTTGGAGGTCCAGCGGACTGACGTCCGGCTCCTGCCAGGTTCAACGGAGCGACGTCCTATTCAGATCAGATGAGACCTCGCCGCCGCTGGGGTTTGCGAACTGCGAAGATGTCGCCACGTTCGTATGGTGCTCGGTGCGAACTGCGACGCTGTCGCTACTGTCGTGGGCTCCTGCGAGGTCCAGCGGGGCGATGTCCTATTCAGATCAAATGAGATCTCGCCGTCGCTGGGGGCTGCGAACTGCGAAACTGTCGCCACTGTCGTGGATTCCTGGGAAGTCCAGCGGGGCGACGTCGTGTCCAGAGCAGTTGAGACCTCGCCGTCGCGGGGGGCTACGAGCTGCGAGACTGTCGCCGCTTTCGTGGGCCCCTGGGACACCCAGCGGAGCGGCGTCCTATCCAGAACAGTTGAGACCTCGCCGCCACTGCGGGCTGCGAGCTGCGAAACTGTCGCCAATGTCGTGGGCTTCTGGGAGGTCCAACGGAGCGACATCTTATTCAGATCAGATGAGATCTCGCCGTCTGTGGGGGCTACGAACTGCGGAGCTGCCGCCACTGTCGTGGGCTCCTGCGGAATCCAGCGGAGCGACGCACTATCCAAAACAGTTGAGACCTTGCCGTCGCTGGGGGCTGCGAACTGCGACGCTGTCGCCAATGTGCTCCTGCGAGGTCCAGCGGAGTGACGTCTCATTCAGATCAGGTGAAATCGCGCCGTCTTTTGGGGGCTGCGAATTGCGAAACTGTCGCCTACCCTTCGCTCTCGCCCCAATCTCCTCTTTGAGCCTGGGGCCCCAGTCCTCGTCCTTCTCTTGTTGTCCTGTGAAGCGTGCGCATCCCACGTAGCTTCCACGGTCCCGTGTTGTCATCTGCCATACTTTAAGACATTTGCCAATCTCATCTTACCGAAACGACTCAAGGATACCCAACTGGGGAAAGGTCCGCGCGGCGGGGTGCAATGCAAATGATCGTGATCGCGGCTGCGAAGGTTGCCTGGTCACCATCGCCGTCGCCGCCGTCACCTTCGAATCCACGGCGATGCCGCCCGTAACTTTTTTGGTTGGTCCTGGTTTCCATGCTCCGATACAGAACGTCAGCCAAAAACCAAGCACCCTGCTGGGCCTCCGCGGCTTGGCAGGCGAGGTGGGCGCGCCGGTGGACCGTCGCAAGGTCGACCTTCCGACCGCGGGCTTCGATGCTTTCCCCGCCCAAATGTCTGCTGCCTGCTCCGCGCAAAACCAGCGACGTCGCGCCGAGGACGCGCGGCCCAACCACTCCGTTCCGCTCCCGCCGAATGCCTCGAGCTCAGGGCGTGTGACTCGGCGCAGGCACCGCAGGCGAGTCAAGTCATAGGGCGCAAGCATCTCCCCGTCGTGGCAACGCTATCGCGCGCACCGCGGGCGCTGTCGTTTCATCAGCGCAAGCGCTGCGCATGGCTCGGCGCAGGCACCGCAGGCGCGTCAAATACTATTGCGCAGGCAGCGCTTCGCCGTCGAATTGTCAGCGAAGGCACTGCAGGGGCAGTCGATTTACCTGCGCGCGGCCAGGCGCAGGCACCGCGGGCGCGTCAAATGAAAAGCCGCAGGCATCTCCTCGTCATCGCGCCGTTCCGTTGTCGCAGGCACCGTGGGCACAGGTTTTCATCAGCGCAGGCACTGCCCATGGTAAAACTTCTGAAAGGTCAAGGGGGGGGGGAGGGAGGGGGCGGGGAGGGGGGCGGGGGGAGGGGGCGGGGGGAAGAGGTGGGGGCGGGAGCGCGCGCGAATTTTCGCAGCGCGTCAGCGCCATTGCCCCGAAGGGGGCGACGCCCCCTTTGCGGGTGCGAACGCAGGGCGAGCTGGGCCGGGGGGGGGGGGGGGGGAAACTGAGCGAGGCCCCGAGAGCTCGAGCGAGCAACGCAAAGACGCGGCGGAGGAGGTTCGCGCGCGCACCACTCCGCGCGCAGAGAACAACTAATTTTTGGATCTGGCCCATGGCGCGTCTGTGGCAGACATGAAACCGTGGAGGCATCGACCTGATCATTGAAACAGGACTGCGCCTGCAATCTGGGCCAACTCTTCTTGTCACTGAATGCAAGTGTCGGGCCGGGCGAAAGGGGGGGGAAGCAAAGGGGGGGTTGAGAATCAGCTCCCGTAGCTGATTTTACCGGCGCCTCCCGGCGCCGGGAGGCGCCCATATCGAGGAATGGGCCCGGCGGCGGGGCCGAAACCAGCTGCATGCAGCAGATTTCGTACCCCCCCCTTTCCCACCACCCCCCCTTTCGCCCGACCCGAAAATGGGTTGGGTACGTCAGAGGGTAATCCCACCAGCCCTCTGGGCGTAGGTGGTCTAGGGAGGCTCCTCTTCCAACCTCCTTCTTCCCCTGCAGGGAAGGGTTCATCACTGTTCCTTATTAGTATACCCCCCTCCCCCACCCGGCCGGTGTCCAACCCGGAACCATGCCGACTCCATGAGGGCCCGCTCCGACCCATCCCTATCAAAAAACAATACAAACTGCACTCAGCCTCCACATTTGGAGCATGCGCGGCCAACCCGATGCGGCCCCCCCACCATCCCTGTCCGTGCCCCGAACGTGGCGCACCCGGCGTGGCTGGAGCGTGCGGCACACCTGGCGCACTCGGAGCACGTGGCGCAGATGGCGCACCAGGTGTGCCTGGCACGCTCGGGCCCTGGGGGGGCCTGGCGCGCGTGGCGCCCCTGGCACGCGTGGCGCACCTCGCCCCAACGTCACGCACCTGGGGTCGGCGTTGGCTCCCAGCAGCTGTCCATCCGAAGACGACCGCTGAACATGCTCAGGCTCGGGTGATACTTCTGTGCTGGGAGGGCGGGTGGGAGTGAGCTGGACGTCTTGCGGGCGGGTGGGTAGCTTGACCCTTCCCCCCTGCCCCCTCCCCTGGACCTGGACGGGGGGGTTCGCGGGCACTTGAAGCGTCCAAGATGGCCAAAGACGGCTCCAACAGCGGCTTTGAGAGCCCAAGATGACCTCCAAGATGGTTCAAGATAGCCGAAGATGACTCAAGATGGCTTCCAAGATGCTCCAAGACGTCCCGAGAACGCTCCAGGAGGGCCAAGAAGCCAACATCCTTCAAAAACAAAGGAAAACCAATGCTTGTTGCATCGTCGCCCGTTCGCTTTCGATAGCCTTCCGAGGCCTCAAGGTGGCTCCAAGATGGCTCAAGAGGGCCCCAAGACAGCAAGAGCGCCCAAGAGCGCTCCAAGAGCGCCCCACGAGCGCCCCAAGAGGCGACTTCTGGGGCTCCCGAGGGAGGAGGCTAATTGTAACCCTTTCCTTTTTTGATCGATGTCTTTCAAGATGGCCCCAAGAGCGCCACTAAAGCTCCTCAGAGCGCCCCAAGAGGCGCCCACACGGTCCCAGGAGGGAGGGGGAGGGGGAGGAGGAGGGGGAGGCCTCCACGAGGCTCCCAAAGCCAACCGAACGGATTCAAGAGGATCCCCGAGGCACCCGAGATGCTCAAAGACGGCCCTGGGCCCGCCAAGATGCCCTCCAGACGCTCCAAGAGGCCTCCAAAAAGCTTCCAAGAGACATCCGAGGAGACCCTGAGAGGCATTCAAGAGGTTTATGGCTCTTCTGTTCGCCGTTTTCCTCCTCCTCCTCCTCCTCCTCCTCCTCCTCCTCCTCCTCCTCCTCTCCCTCCTGTTCCTCCTCCTTCTCCATGTCCGCCAACTCCTCCTCCTCTTTGCTCCCTCCTCACCCTCCCTCACCTCCTCCTCCTCCTCCTCCTTGCCCACATGCTACTTCTGCTCCTTCCTCCTCCTTCTCCTCCAACCCTCCTCCTCCTGCTCCTCCTCGTCAGCAAATTGAGCATCCTTCTCCCTCCTCCCTCATCCATCCTCCTCCTCCCTCGAGCGATGACGGCTATCCCCCTGTTCGCTCCTACACTTCCCTGATTGTCTCAACTCGCCTGGGCGTCGGTTTGGGATGGGCTGGTGGGGATGCGCGCGGCGTCAAGAGTTCCCTCCAGCTGGGCCTCATGAGGCACATCCGTCAGAGCACGCCTACAGTCGGGGCGTTGACCTGAGGAACCCTAAATAAGGAACCGAGGCCCCATTTCTCCAGAAGTTTACCTTCGATTTCCCGTCGAAAACCGAAGGACAACGTGGGGCAAACCGTGAAACAATTAAGGAACACCGAGCCCCTCCCCAACGAAAAGGCTTCCTTCTTCAGCGCCCCGACTGTAGAGCAAACCCCGCGGCGAACAAACCTCCGTTCACGGCGGGCCCCCCCCCTCGCCGCGGCGGAGTCGGACCGGCCCCGCCCGCACGGCCTCGTCGTGGTGGGCCGCTGGGTCCTGGCGGGCGGTTTCCGCCGACTCCAGCCCCGTGCCGGACACCAAGTTTTCCTCATAACTCCTCCTCCTTCTTCCTCCTCCCCCTCCTCGATCATTCTCTTCCTCCTCCTCCTCCTTCCTCCTCTTCCTCTTATCTTCCTCCCTCCTCGTTCTCCGTCCTCCTCCCTCCTCCTCCCTCCTCCTCCTCCTCCTCCTCCTCCTCCTCCTCCTCCTCCTCCTCCTCTTGCTCCTATTTCTCCTCCGTCACTTCCCGTCATAAACAACTCGTCCCGACGGGCCGGGCGTCTCGCCTGAGACATCCTGGCCACTTATGTTCCTGAAGCTCGAAATGTCTCAGCAGTTGCGAGGATGGAGGGCAGGTGGTTTCTGTAATGTGGCTCTCCTTCAAGCGCCGCGCAGATCCGCCCTTACCACATTTTTGAAGAAATTTCAAGGATGGAAGGCGGGTGGCTTTCAAAAATGTGGCTCTGGCACCAGCGCCGCACACAGTCGTCCTAAAACTTTGCAGCAGCTTCAAGGATGGAGGCTGGGTGGATCTTAAACTTTGGCTCTCGGCTCAATACACGCCCCGTGCATTCGTTGTTTTCCAAATGCAATTGCTGAGGGCTCGCAAGGCTGAAGTCTACGAAATGCTGTCCTGGCACGATTTAGGATTGTCAGGAAGCAACATGCACGTTGATCCGCGGTGTTGAAATCTCATGAATGGCGTTCTGGAGCGATGTATGATTGTCAGGGTTCAGCAGTCACTTCACGTTGATTCGCGGCGTTGAAATCCCAGAGGTGGTGTTCTGGCATCCTTTAAAATGATTATGCGCTTCTCTGCTTTCAACTGAATGTCGCACTCCTCGCAATGAAATAGCATGATTGTAGGGATATGTGGACACGGGACTTAGAGAGAGGGTTTGTTGCATCATCCTTGGTGCGGCTTGGGTTTGCACTCGTCATTTCTCTTTTCCTCCTCCTCCTCCTCTTCTCCCCTCCTCCCTTTCCCCAGCCTTCTCAAAACTAGAGATGCGGATCTCACCCTCGAGACCCCGGCTTCCTGTACTCCCCAGTCTTCCTACGTAAGCAACCGGTGCCGGGGGAAATGAGTCCTGGACCTTGGAGCTTTCTCCCAAGACCAGGACCAGATATCCGCTCTGGGTCGATCCTGGGGCCAGCGGACGGCCCAGGAGGCCCAAGACGGCGAAGAGCTCGGGGACCATTTCTCTTGGGATCCGCTTGCGTCGTGGCCACTACGGTCAGGAACAGCATGTCGCGCCGCTGCTTGTGAGGAGGAGGAGGAGGAGGAGGAGGAGGAGGAGGAGGAGGAGGAGGACGACGAGGAGGAGGAGGAGGAGGCGGCGGGGGCGAAGCGATATCGTGCCGAATGTCTCGCCCGCCTGCAAAACCCCACGATTGAAACTAGATTCTACTGTATGCGAGGAGGAGGAGGAGGTTATGGTGATCCAGGACCAGCCTGCTCATCCTTGAAGACACGACTCCCGGGAGGTCTTCGCGGGAACGATGACAATCTGTTAGGCCCGTCCTCCTCCTCCTCCTTCTCCTCATCCTCCTCCTCATCCTCCTCCTCCTCCTCTTCCTCTTCCGCCTCCTCCTCCTCCTCCTCCTCCTCCCCTCCTCCTCCTCCTCCTCCTCCTCCTCCTCGTGCCACTGAGTGAGGCCAGTTGGCCCGGATTGAGCCCAAGATCAAGCCCGATTAAGCCGAATCAAAGTCCGCCAACCATTCGGCGTGTGTGAGAAGCTCTTCCGTTTGAGTCGTCGTCGTCGTCGACGTCGTCGTCGTCAGTCCCAAGGAAATTGAGGAACAAGGGAAAGGAACGTCGCACTAAAAGCCGATTCCCTTCCCTTAATCCCTTCCATGCCGAGGGGGGGAAGGTGGGGGAGGGCGGAGCGCCAGACTGGATGGGTATGGGTCGCTTTCGGTCCTCCGCGGTGCTGGGTGCTCCTCCCTTACTCTTCCGACTGCTCCTCCTCCGCCTCCTCCTCTCCCACCTCCTCCTCCTCCTCCTCCTTCGTTTCCTCCCTCCGTCTCCTTCGTCCTCCTCCTCCTCCTCCTCCTCCTCCTTCTAAAACAGTAAACAGAACAAGCAGCAGGAATGCTGGAGGCTGAAACTTGAGGAGAGCCGTTGGAAAACACAGCATACCACTGATCCGATGGAACACTGTCCGAAGGGAAGCGTCCGAAGGGGGGGTGCCGCATTCTCTGCGGCGCTTTCGGCCCTCCTCGGTGCTCGGCGCTCCTCCCTTCCTCTTCCTTCCATTCCTCCTCCTCCTCCTACTTCTTCTCCTCCTCCTCCTCCTCCTTCGTGTCCTCCTTCCTCCTCCTCCTCCTCCTCCTGCTCCGCCTCCTCCTCCTAGGGTCCTAGAGAATTGCTAGAACTTTGGGGAGTGTCCTCAGAACGACAAAAAAAGAAATAGAAGCTGGAGTGCCGGAGGTTGCAACTTGAGGAAAACCAGTGGACACACCAAAACAAAGAAACAAACAAACACACAAAAACAAAGATCACAAAGAAATCCGTCCGAAGGGAAACGTCCAAAGGAGGGAGGGGCGGCATTCTCCGTGGGTGTTCCCAAAGTTCTGGCACTCCTCTAGGAGGAGTGAGGAAGAGGAAGACGGAGGAGGAGGGAGGGAGGAGCAGGAGGAGGGGGAAGAGCAGGAGGATGAGGAAGAGGAAGGGAGGAGCGCCGAGCACCGGTGAGGGCCAAAAGCGCCACAGAGAATGCGCCTCCCCCGCCTCTCGGATGTTTGCCTTCGGACGGTGTTCCCTGGGCTGTTTTGTGTTGTTTGTGCTTTGTCACATGGGTTGCCTAACATTTCAGCCTCCAGCACTTCAGTTTCTTTGGTGTGGTTGGTTGTTCTTTGTGTTTATTTGTTTTCCCACCGCCAAAGTAAGGAATTTATGTGTACTTCGCCCACAACGCGGGATCGGTTGTCCCCCCACAGAAGGATGCAGAGACGGAGGAGGAGTAGGAGGAGGAGGAAGAGGAGGAGGAGGCGGATGTGGAAGAGTAGGAGGAGGGGGAGGGATAAGACGATGAGGAGGAGGAGGAGGAATACGAGGAGGAGGAGGACTAAGACGATGAGGAGGAATAGGAGGAGGAGGAATAAGACGATGAGGAGCACGAGGACAAGGAGGAAGAGGATGATGAGGCAGAGAAGTACGATGAGGAGGAGAAGGAGGAGGAGGAGGACAAAGGGAAATGGAGAAGAGGGAGAGAACGGAGGAGCGAAACGGAGTTGGAAAGAGAGCGGTTCTTTCTGAAACCCTTTGGAAGGCCGAGAAGAGCGCCCCACACCCATCCAGCCTGGATCTGAAGGTGGTTGGGGGGGGGGGGCGGAGGTCCCGTGGGTCAGAAAACCGCCCACCCCCCTCCTCTCGAGCAGGAACCGACCGTCCTGGCATTCCTATATAGACCTACCACGACATGTTCTTAGACCCCCAAGAAAGTTCGAGCAACAAACGCAATGTTCTTAGAACATGAGGCCGATGTGCTAAAACACGACAGTCTCAGCCAGAAATGTTCTAAGAACATTTTGCGCAAACCGCAAGAGAGTTCGAACAACAAACACAATGTTCTTAGAGCATGAGCCCTGGGTGCTAAAACACGGCAGCCTCAGCCAAACATATTCTAAGGACACTTCGTGCAAACCGCAAAAGGCTCTTAGAACATTCTTTGGTAGGGCGAGCTAGGACGCTTCGCCACTGCTTGATCCTCTGGGAAGTCCCGGCGGGTCCAGAGGGAGTTTTGGGGGGCGCCCCTGGAATCCCGGCAGGTCCTGGGTGGGCAACTGGGGGGTTTGCGGGGTGGATTCCAAATTAAAATGCCGCCCCCCCCTATAGGGTCCCGGCGGGCCCGGGAGGGTCGCCAACGGTGGGAAGTCCCGCCTTCAGCGTCGGTGACACCGGCCGGACGGCCTTCGCAATATGATCAAACGGAATAAAACAGGATTGTGCCAGCCTGGACATGACTTCGACTACGGACATGCAAGCGTCGATGCTGAGTTCAACCTCCCAAGAGTTGCAAGCTCACGTCCCGGGCCGCTTTTTGACGGCCCCGGAGCCGGGCAGGGCCCAAGGGGAGCTCGAAGACGGCGAAGCAGCTCCAGGGCTCCAGGGCCCTGTTCCTCCAGAGCCCCTGTCCTTTGTGGTGGCTGCTGCTCCTCGCTCTGCCCTCCATCTCAGCGCACCTCTCCAATGCATTCTACTCAACACGTCCTTCGGCCAGCGACCCGGCGAACTCAATCCTTCCCAACGATGGCAGTGCTGCACAGCCCGGAAAAGGCCCCACGTGCAACGTTCGGCGGGGGAGTACCCATTAGTGAGTACCCATCACAGTGCCGCTGACCACTCGGGGGCGTCCAGAGGGGGGCGTCCAAAATTGGGGTTTGCAAGTCACGGTCCGAGGCACGTGCGCGGCACAGGGGCCCAGGGGGGGGACAAGAAAAAGTGGGCGATGAAATCCGGCAGGTAGATCTCATGGCCCCAGCCATGCTACCCTCCCCCCCCCCTCCCTCCAAGTCATCACACCCCTCGACCTGGTGGTTGTCGGGCCAGAACTCGGGTGTCGGGCCAGAACTCGGGCCGATCTGGGACGAGGCGCAGCTGCTGGCAAACATCACAAGTAGAAAAACCGCCGAAAGCCGACCATAACGCCCGAAAACCTCGCACCGCGAACGCTGAAGATTTCCACTATCACCCCCGTATTGGCCGCCCCCGACTGACCATCCCGCTCCGCCTCCCTTCCAGTGCTGGAGGAGTATGTTGTGCCAGTGATCAAACTACGATGGCGACAACTGCCAGCCTCTAGTCTCTGGCGAAGGAGGCTCCACCATTCCCTCCACCACCGACAGCGCGAAGCAAACCTGATGGCTTCGTGGCCGCCTTTCGATGTGTGCCGTTGAACAAGCGTGGCACAAAACGAAGGAACACGGTGTAAGTAAAGACGGGCAAAGGAAAGACCGCCAGGCGCCGTTCTCTCGGATGCACGCGCAAGCTCCTCGCCGCTGTGCTTGCCAACGCCCTGCGTACCTTGGACGTGGGCCGACGAGAGCGCGCGAAAACCTCGCACCGCGAACCCCGAAGGCTTCCGTCATCAATCTCCCTTTGGCCGCCCGACTGACCATCCCACTCCGCCCCCCTGCCGGTGCCAGGAGGAGGAGGGGGAGGAGGAGGAGGAGGAGGAGGAGGAGGAAGAGGAGGAGGAGGAGGAAGAGGAGGAGGAGGAGGAGGAGGACGACGATGAGATAACACCCCCCCGCCCGCCCGCGGGCTCCGCGTGGGAGCCGACGCGCCCCTTCAGCTCTTTGCGGCCCTGAACGGGGGCGGCGGCAGCGGCCGGGGAAGTCCTTGTCTCCTGCGCCAGTTCCCGCTTCGACGTCCAAGTAGGCAACTCTTGGGAGGTTTTCGCCAGAAAAACTGAAAGCGATGAGTCCCGAATCGGAGGGCCACTGAGCCCGATGAGGCCCGATTCGGCCCGGGACCGACCTGGTTTAGGCTCGGGATTACCCCTGATTTGATGTGATTAAGCGGGATGAAGCGGGATTCGCCCAGATTAAGCCAGGTTTCGACCTGGGATGTACCAGCTCTGATTCTGAATGTAGCCTCCCAGGAGCTGCATCCTACATTGCCGATGCAACACCCATCCGCACCAATGTCCCACGGCCCAGCATGCCTATCACAAGGATGCCAGCTTAGCTCTCGGCGAAGTGAACAACATCGCATACGCATCGGCACTCGCTGCCGAGCGTGAAATTGTCAACACCACTGCTCGCGCAATCGTCCCACCCATTCGCCCGCAACTTAGTTTGCAAAACCCATGCGGCGACGATTGCGATGACTGCTTGGCGCTGACTGGCGCATCGCTGCGGCTGGGCTGGCGGCCGCAGGCGCGCTCGCAGAGCGGCCAGCTAGTCTGGCGCGACCGACGCGGCCACGGTGGCGCTGACCGCTGGGCACTTTCCAACACGTTCCGCAAGCCGCGCTGACGCGCGGGCACTCAGTGCGAGCCGGTGACTCGGGCAGGCGCGGTATCATGTCGACGCCGACAACGGCAGACACGATGGTAATAGTAGCGATGCTGGTGGCGATGATGATGGTGAGAACGCTGGCAAGGCCACTAACGGCGCCGATGCTCATCACGCCAACGACGATGATGGTGCCCATGTGTCAGCAACGAAATTTTGGAAGGACTTGGACATGCGCGCGAGGCTGGCGCGCGCGCGTTGCCCATATGGTATTAATTGAAAGGGATCGTGCCCCCCCCAGAACGCGCGCAAGGGCGTTCAAATGATTTCGACATGCGCGCGCGAGAGACCCGCTTGGTGGTTTTTGATGAAGTTGTTGAACAGCCGATGGTTGTCTTAAGAACTCGCAAGATCGCGCGAAGAGTTTTCTGTTTAACAACCGCGTTGCAAAACAATGATTAAATTCGCTGCGAAAACAACTGAAAATAATTTTGGCATGCCCGCGACGACGCGCGCGTGTGGATGTTGTCTCTATTTTGCAAGGGAATATAATGAACTAGTGGTTTTTATAAACGAATGCGAGCGCATATATTTGACGAAGATGAGGGGAATGTCGAACCTGGCCTGGCTGAGATGATATGGTATCTGACTTCGAATGAACGATGAGGCAGGCTCGTATGTAAGTTGCACATCCCGGGGAGGGAAGGAGGTACATCTTAATTCCGTTTGAGAAAGGAGACCCGATGTACTGCAACAAACACGAAGCAGCAAGAACACGAAAAACTGTCAAACACCATCCAAACAAAGACTACTTATTTCGCCTCCGGTGTGCCTCGTGGGAGTCCTTTTGAAGGCGTCTTGGCCGTCTTGAGGCCCTCTTGGGATGTCTTCAAGCCATGTTGGACCAAATGTGTAACGCTCTTGTGCGGTCTTGGGTTCTCTTTGAGCGCTCCTGGGCCACCTTGGCGCCTTCTTGGACGTCTCTCGGCCCCCTTTGATGTTTTCTGGCGCCCCCCGTCGGGCCCGAAACGGTCGAAGACAAATCAGTGCACTTTGGGGGCCCTGGGAGCCCCTACCCATATAAATATCTGTGTATAAATGGAGCAAAGCAACTGGAGCAACGCAACTGGAGAGCAACGGCAAACTACATCGGCATCATGCTATGTGTGATTCGAGCGAGGGCGGGGGGCAGATGAAAGGGGGGCAAAACAGAAGAGGAGCAACAGCAGGCAGCATATTGATGGGGGACGCAAGAGGAGGAAGGGGAGGGCGAGAGGAACCGGGAGGGAGACAGGGGTGGGAAATGTGACCAGGTACGCAGGCTGGAGACATGCAAAAAAAACAAGTCGAGACCTTTTCTATCGAGCACCGCAGGCAAAAGTAGGCGGCCCACATCAACATCACCTGAATGCATGGAGAGAAGGGCGCGGGAGGTGGCGGTAGTTCGCGATCATGCTCATAGACGTGCGCTGCAACGCGCACCATTTCGATGTTCAGTTCAACAACAGTCCAAGTATCCAGGACACGCCCAGGAAAGAAAGAAGCAAACAACATGAATGAAGAACAATCCCTGTCACAAACAGGTCCCCGCCCTCCTGAACACCTGCCAAAAGATCCACCTCCGTCCCCACATCTGTCATCCCCCTTTTCACCTTCTCCGTCCCCGCCCCCCTCGCCATCCTCCTCCTCCGCCTCCTCCTCATTATTTTTCTTGACGTGGGGTAAACTTCAAAGGCTATGCTTGTAGTGTACGGCTCGTCCTCCTCCTCCTCCTCCGCCTCCTAGTCCTCCTCCTCCTCCTTCTCCTCCTCCTCCTCCTCCTCCTCCTCCTCCTCCTCCTCCTCCCGTCTCGGAAGAGGCCGTGCGCCGCGGCCCGCACCCCGGCACGTGTCCGCCACCGTGCCCTGGGGTACGAGTTGCAGTGCCCCCTTAGAGGTAGCCGTCCCCAGTCCCACGGGAATGGGCGCAGAAGGTCGGGCGTGAACCGAGGGGGGTGCGGTGAGTGGGGTAAGGGGGGGAAGACACGTGCACCTTCTGTGCCCCTACGGGGTCCCACGAGGGCCCCTTCAGGGCCCCTGCGGGGGGTCAAGAGGTGCACCTCTCCTCGATCCCCCCCCCGCAGTTACCGCCCCTCCGTTGCTCGACGCCCGAGGAGGACCCGGATCCCAAGTTGCTCTCCTGGGGCTGGGCTCATGCTCTCGCATGCTGTCGCGCAGGAGGACCAGGGGGATGCTCTCGCATGCTCTCGCATGCTGTCGCTGTCTCTCGCATGCTCTCGCAGGCCAGGGGGAGGGGGCCTCAGGACGGCCCAGGAGGGCCCACAAGAGGCTACCAAGACGCTCCAAGACGGCCCAGAGCCGCCTGTGAAAGAGCGTGTTCTACCGCTGCTAGCGGAAAACCGGGGGGGGGGTCACTACCGGTTCGAACCCCTCCCCCCCCCCCCCTCCGGAAAACCGGGGGGGTCACTACCGGTTCGAACCCCCCCCCCCCCCCCTCATCATGAAAAGGGGGGGGGTCACTACCGGTTCGAACCCCCCCCCCCTCGAGCTCGAAAACCGGGGGGGGTCACTACCGGTTCGAACCCCCCCCCCCCCTCGAAAACCGAGGGGGGGGTGCGGACAGTGGTGGGGACGGTGGTGGTGGGGACAGTGGTGGGACAGTGGTGGGGACAGTGGGACAGTGGTGGGGACAATGGTGAGGACAATGGTGGGAACAGTGGTGGGGACGGTGGTGGTGGGGACAGTGGTGTGGGGACAGTGGGAATGTGGTGGAAACAGTAGGACAGTGGAGGGTACAGTGGTGGTGGGGACAGTGGTGAAGGCGGTGGCGAGGACGGCGGTGGGACAATGGGACAGAGGTACAGTGGGGACAGTGGTAGGGACAATGGGGACAGTGGTGGGAACAGTGGGACAGCTCAGTGGTTCGAACCGGTAGTGACCCCCCCCTCCGGTTTTCGAGAGGGGGGGGGGGTTCGAACCGGTAGGATCCCCCCCGGTTTTCGAGCTCGGGGGGGGGGGGTTAGGGGAGGGGGGGGGGGGTTGCCGGGGAAGGGGGGGGGGGGGACCCCCGGGTTCCGGAGGAAAAGGGCGGCAATTTTCCACAGTAAAGCGGCGGTGGATCACGCTCTCTCAAGATCACTCTAAGACGCCCGAGGTGGCCCCCAGACGGCCCCAGAGGCACCCGAGGCACCCTAAGAGACTCCAGAAGGCCCCACCAGAGGGTCCCGAGAGGCCCAAAGTATTGATTCGCGAGTGGTTCATGAACGAACAAGTTTGCGCTCGCCTTTCTGGACTTTCGACGCTCCAAGACGGCCCAAGAGGCCGCAAAGATCGCCCCAAGACGGCCCAAGAGGCCCCCAGGAGGGCCCCAAGAGAGGCCCAAGGGAGACCCCAGAGGGGGAACGTCGGAGACAGCCAGCAGGCCCGCCAGCAGCTCCCAGAGGCTCCAGTAGGCCCCCGAGAAGCCCCAATCGGGCCCCCAAGAAGACCCCAAGATGCCCCCGAGAGGCCCCAAAGCGACCCCCCAGACCGCCTCCAAGAGGCTTCTCAGAGGCCTCCCAGGAGATCCCCACGGCATCCAAGAGGCCCCTGACCAACAAACGGGGCACGTTGGCAGAAGGGGTCGAAGACCACCAAATAATGAAACCAAGAAAACACATCGCGCAAGCAACCGTGTGCAAAACAGCGCAACGCGGAGGAGGGGGACGGGAAGGAGGAGAAGGTGGGGACCCGCACCCCTGGGGAAATTGACTACCCCGAACGAAGCCAGAAGATGCTCGTCTGGGAACGCCGCTGGGCAGAGACCGAACGCGCAGGCCTCTGAGCTTCCGCCGGGCTTCTGCCGGCGGACCCGCCGCCGCTCCACCTGCTGAAGCCCTGCATGCCGCCACGCTGGTCCCGGGCAGGCTGCGCGCGGGACCCACCCAACCCGAGCCCCGCTGGTGGGGACCCGCGGAGGAGGAGGAGGAGGAGGAGGAGGAGGAGGAGGAGGAGGAGGAGGAGGAGGAGGAGGAGGAGGAGGTGGAGGAGGTGGGGACCCGCCCAACCCGAGGCCACCTGGAGGACCCACCCGAAGATGGAGAACTCGTACATGCCCCTGTAGAACTCGGCCGTGCCGGGCCTCTGCTCGAGGGGCCACGGCCGCAGCCGTGTGCCGCCGCCGCTCCTCCTCCTCCTCCTCCTCCCCTCCTCCTCCTCCTCTCCTCCTCGTCCTCCCTCCCTTGTCCTCGTCCTCTCCTTGGTCCCTCGTCCTTCTCCCTCCTCCCTCCTCTCCTCTCTCCTCCCTCCTCCCCATCCCTCCCCCTCGTCCTCCCCGGCTCCCTCTCTCCTCCTCCCGCTCCTCCTCTCCTTCCTCCCCTCTTCCCCTCCTACCCCCTCCTAGCCCCTCCTATCCCCTCCTGTCCCCTCCTATTCGTGTCCCCTATTTGTATGTACCCCCGCTCTGCCACAAAATCGGCCGCTGGGGGCCACATTCGGGACGTCCCATCCGACCAATCAGAAAACACAGTATCCAACGTTTTTCGTCTCGACATGGGCGTCCTGTCGCCGGCGCTGCAGAGGGGGAGCGCCGGGAATGGGACGCGGCGCACCGAGAAAAAAGCGCGGCGCGCATCTTCCGCGCGAAACTCCGTCGACGCGCGAGCGGGCGCAACTATCGTCCTCGTGCCGGCGCCGTGCAGAGTTCGCCTGAGAGTGGCGCTCCCGCCCCGGCGCGGCGCCTCCTCTTCGCCCGCCTGCTGTGGGGTGCCTCCGCGCGAGCGAGCAACGTGCCGCCCTCACCCAGGCTCCGTGCTCATGTCGCTCGGAGGTGGCGCTCCCGCGCGGGCGCGGCGCGTGCGGCGTTCGTCGAGACGCAGGGAGGCGACGCGAGAGCGGGCGAAGTGCCGACCACGCCCAGGCGCCGCGGAGCCTGTGGGTGAAAGCAGCAGTGCTGTGTCGGCGCGGTTGTCACGGCGACCATCGGAAGGTTTGCAGCTCCCGCTCCAGCGCGGCCCGCGCAGTGTATTCTTGTCCGCCAAGTCGTCGGGAGCGGGGCCGCGCGCGAACGCCTTCCGTTTGCGAGGTGGGAGCACGTCCCAGTCCTGGTATCGGAGGGTGCCACATTTGATGTTTCTGTCGTGGGAGGTCGGGTGAGAATAGACGGGGCCCTCTGACTCGCTGGACTTGGCTAGCCTGACCCCCGCCTGCCACCTCCCCCTCCCCCTCTCCCCCCTCGCCCCCTCCTCCCGCTCCTCCTCCGCCTCCCCCTCCCCCTCCCCCTCGCCCTCGCCCTCCCCCTTCTCCTCCTCCTCCTCCTCCTCCTCCTCCTCCTCTTCCTCCTCCTCCTCCTCCTCCTCCTCCTCCTCCTCTTCCTCCTCCTCCTCCTCCTCCCTCATGCCATGTAGGCTCAGACCACATCTGAACCAATCCCTGTACCCCCGCGTGGTGCTTGAAGTACCCCGCGGGGAGTTGGCCCCACACCTCCTGCGCTTTACCGAAAGCAGGAATTCAGTCTGTCAAATTTAGTTTCGCTTCACTTCAGGGAATGATGACGCCTGCTCCTCGCCCGTGGAGCTAGTTCGAACTCTGCAAGCAATGCGAATACCACGATCGTTTGGTTATGTTTGGTTGCCGCTGCAGCAAGTGTTCAAGGCAGGTGCGCTTGTTCAAGCCAAGGGAGCGCTCGAAGTCTGTCGGGCGTGGCGGCAGCAAGGTGCGCTTCGAGGATGAAGCTCCGCCTTCGGGCACCCACACACCTCGTGGAGGTCGGCGCGGCGGCAAGAAGGCTGCCGACGTGGGGGCCAACCAGCTGCTCCAGCAAGCTCTGAAGGCCACCGCGGACAAGGAGTTGCAGAGGGTCCTGCAGCAGCAGTCCCAGAGGCTGGCCGAGACGAATGCGATGAGCAGCGCCTCCTCCAACGCCGTGGACGCAATCAAACATGCTGATGGAGCCCGGAAGGCCGCCAGCAACCGCCACCAGCAGCTGGTGGACCAGGCGGCCAGGCTTCGGCAGCAGCTGGCCACAGCCGAGGCCAAAGGGCGCGAGGCCGCGGTGGAGTTCGCCCGCGCGGCGGCGGCCAAGTCCGCGGCCACCAAGGCGCTCGCGCTGGCGGAGGGTGCCAAGGACTCGCTCGGAGGCAACCAAGAGGCCAATCCAGCGGACTTCGGCATCACGATGACCATGGATGTCTTGGACACCTTCGAGTCCTCCGCGCGATGAGGAGGGAGCTGGAGCAGCACAAGGCGACCTTTGAGCAGCGCAACTCTCAGTGGAAGGCCTTCGTTGGCAATGTCGTCAGCATGCAGAAGGAGATCACCGAGAGGATGGCCAAGAAGAGGAAGGGGCCTGGAGGCGAGGCGGCCGCAGCTGCGCCTAGCCAGGGCGAGGGCGGCGGCGCTTCCAGCAGTGGCGCAGACACTGGAGCCGCAGCTGTCACTCCAGGCCCCACCTGGGCCACACCCGAGGAGGAGGAGGCGATCAAGAAGGAGGCCGAGAAGACCTCGCATGCGCGTCTGCAGGCGGCGGCGGCGGCGGCTGTGCGGCAGGGCAGGGGCTCTGGCAAGCAGGGTGCGGCGGCGGCAGACGATGATGGCGAGTTATGACTAGGGGCCTCGATCTCTGCAACGCAGACCCCGTGTGCTGCGAGCTCGGGCACGACCAGTGCGCCTACTGTTACCACTACTTGCAGTTCCAGTGGCTACACCTGCGTCCTCGTCTTCAAGGGTTGCAGTTGGAGCGTGCCAGGCTACCTCCAGCAGCAAGAACGTTTCATCCTTTCTCTTCTCGAGCGTTACCTGCATGGGCGACAAAGCTTGGGGGCGCGCCGTCATGTCGGCCTCGCAGTTCGACTGCATAATTCTGTGCGAGATGCACATCAACCAATCCTCGGTCACGAAGTGGAGGAAGAAAGCTCAGGAGTCCGCTTTCAAGCTATATGCTAACGCTGCGCGGCCGAACAACGAATGTATCACCAAGTCCGACAACTACGCCAACGAGGGTGGCGAGTTCTCCCTGGCAGCTCGACGCCGTCCAGCTCACATCCTGGACGAGGCGTGGTCTGCGCATGGACTGCGCTCTGAAAGTGGCAGCTCCTATGGTGGCCTCGTGTCAAGCCTTATGGAGTTGAATCAGATATTCAATTGTCGCTGTCGCGTTCTATGGTCACTCTTCCACGGGCATGCGCGTCCAGAAGGTTCCCATATTTCGGAAGTTAGTTTCCCTCCTGGCCTCCCTCCAACTCCCATGGCTTGCAGCTGCCAGCTGGATTTGCTGCCCCGCCTCTCTCAGCGAGGCTGGCTTCCTGGCACAATCCGGGGGCCAGATGTTGTGCCGCGAGGCGGAGTTCACCTGCGCCCCTGGGGGCCCCATCCGGCCCTCGCATCTGGATCCGGCAGAGCGCCTTCGGGTGCCCCGAGGACGCGCCCTGGCAGAGCGCCTTCGGGCGCTCCAGGGTCGCGTCCTGGCAGAGCGCCCTCGGGCATTCCCGGGCCGCGTCCTGGCAGAGCGGCCTCGGGCGCTCCATGGGGCGCGCCCTGGCAGAGTGGCCTCGGGCGCTCCAGGGGGCGCGTGCTGGCAGAGCGCCTTCGCGCGAGCGTCCCGGCGGGCACAGGGCGAAGAGCGCCTCGGGGGACGGCCTGCGGAGGCGTGGCCCCGAGCGGGACGGGCGGCAGCCGTCTGCCGCGGATCCCGCGCCGCGCCACGCGGTCGGCCGTTGCCGCGCGCCGTGCTCGTGGCGCTGAGCCTGTCGGGTGGTCGTGGGGCTGTCTCGGGCTCCCGTGGAGCAGAGGCCCTCCTGGAGCTGGGCGGTCGTCGTCGCACAGGCGCTTGAGGGCGGCCAAGCCCTCCCCGGCGCAGGTGAAGGCAGGGGGGCCCTCCCGCCGCGAGAGGTGCCAAATGCGGCGGCCTTCTGGGCGCTGCGGAATGCTTCGCTGGCACGGTGGCTGATTTGCTGGGGGCACCCGGATCAACATGTCTTCCAATTCCCGCGGTTGGTGGGTATCGCTTCTGGGGGGCTCTTCTCCCCTGAGGCGAGCGGGGGCAGCAAGGACTCGCGACAGCGCGCGCACGAGGCCCACGCCGAGGAAGATGTGCACCGCCGCGGAGGCAGGAAAGTGGGCCCGACATGCCGACGGGAGCACATCGCCACCGCACACTCGCAGACGGGCTCGTGCACTGCATGCCGTTTCGGCGTATGTTTGACCATGTTTAGGCAGGCCACCAGGAATCTCATGAGACCTCCAGAGATGCCTCGGGATAGATGGGGATCAGGAGAGGAAAGGGGGGCCAGCTCTGCAAATAAGCGCTCCCTGGCCACATCTGCCATCCCATCCTCATCGCGCATCGCTTCTCAGTGCGCTCCCTCGTCATACTCCACCTCTTCCTTCTCTTCCTACACTCATCGTCTTGGTCGTCGTCCTCCTCCTCGTCGTCGTCCTCTTCCTCCTCCTCCTCCTCCTCCTTCTCCTCCTTCTCGTCCTGCCCGTCCTCCTGATCCTCGTCGTCTTTCTCGTCCTCCTCTTTGCCGTTGTCGTCCTCCTTCTCCCCATCTACCTCATCCTGATCGTCTCTCTCGTCCCCCATCCGCCTTCCGCCTCGTCCCCGCCCCCCTCCTCCTCCTCCTCCTCCTCCTCCTCCTCCTCCTCTCTCCTTCGACTTCTCCTCCTCCGTCTCCTCCTCCTCCTCCTCCTCCTCCTCCTCCTCCTCCTCCTCCTCCTCCTCCCAGTTGATCCTCGTCGACTTCCTCGCCGTCCTCCTCGCCACAGTCCTCCTCGCCCTCTCCCAAGGCTGGCGGCAAAGGCTGGCGGAACGCGCCCGTGGTTCTCGCACGAGTGCTGCTCCTCCTGGGCTTGGCTGCTCACGCAGTTCACGAACATGAAGAAGCCCATGATGGTCCGGATGACGCCTCCACGCCGTCGTCTTTTCGCCAGCGGCGGCGGCACCGCTGTCATCGACGTCGTCGTCGGCGAAGCGGGAGGGGGAGGAATTGTTCGCTGGTTGCTGGACGTTGTCTCGCCTCGGGATGTGCTCACCAGCAGCTGCACCTCGTCTAAGGCTCCCCAGGGTGCCAGAACTGTCCTGAGCGGCCGCCGGAGGCCCCGGCTATGACCCGACAGGCTCCGACAGGAGGAGGGGGAGGAGGAGGAGGAGGAGGAGGAGGAGGAGGAGGAGGAGGAGGAGGAGGAGGAGGAGGAGGAGGAGGAGGAGGAGGAGGAGAGGAGGAGGAGGAGGAGGAGGGGGAGGGGAGGGGGAGGGGGAGGAGGAGAGGAGGAGGAGGAGGAGGAGGAGGAGGAGGAGGAGGAGGAGGAGGAGGAGGAGGAGGACGAGGACGAGGACGAGGAGGAGGAGCAGGAGGGGGAGGAGGAGACCTCCGACAGGCTGTTTTCTTTAGTCCACGGGGAGGCTTTCCTCCAGCTCGGCTTCCCGGGGCCGCCCTCGGGGCCCCGGGACCATCAGGAACGGATCCGGGGGCGCACGAGTAGCACGGGGGGAGGAGGAGGGAGCTCTGGGGCCGCAGACTCGCACGAGGGTTCGGACGGCGCCTGCCTCCGTACAGTCGGACTTGATTGAAAAGGACGCGCGGAGAGGACACGAGACCCTTCCAAAAAGGGCACACTGCCACAGGAATGCAGGAGGCATGGGTCGCGAGACACAGGACACGAGGGTGCCCTTGATCTGGCAGGGTCGACCTACTAATCCGGGCCGGCTGTAACGCGGGAGGTTGGATTCCTCGCGGATTGGTTGGTTCACCGGTAGAAGTTGGAAACCTGTGGAGGATTGGTTCCTCGGCAAGGAGTTTACACTTTGTTTTTTTTCTTCTCGGTATGGCGACCCGATGACGACGACGATGACGATGACGATGACGGTGACGATGACGATGATGATGATGATGATGATGATGATGATGATGATGATGATGATGATGATGATGATGATGATGGTGGTGGTGGTGGTGGTGATGATGATGATGATGACGCTGATGCTGATGATGATTATGACTTTTAACAGAGTCGGGGCTCAGGGGGAGGCGCGGTTCGGGGGTAAGGGGGAGAGCCCTCTGCCCGCGGCGAGCGCGTTCTAGAGTCGCTGTGCTCTACGCGCGCGTGCAGGGGCGGGTCACTCCGCTATGATGATGAGGATGATGTTGATGTTGATGTTGATGCTGATGATGATGCTGATGTTGATGTTGATGCTGATGCTGCTGCTGCTGATGATGATGATGATGATGCTGATGCTGATGCTGATGCTGATGATGATACTGATAATGATAATGATGATGATGGTGATGGTGATGGTGATGGTGATGATGATGATGATGATGATGATGATGATGATGATGATGATGATGATGATGATGGTCAGCTTCCCAACTGATAGGGAGGTGGCTCAACCATGCTAGATCAGGCCGAAAAGGAAGAGAAGGAGGAAGAGGAGGATGAGGAGGGGAGAGAGTGAGAGAGTGAGAGAGGGGGAGGAACGAGCAGAAAGATGTATAATGTTTCCGACCAGCGGCTTGCACGAGACACGAGCTGTAAGAGCACAGCGGGACACGCAAGTAAAGGAAGGAGCCAACATGTACACCGAAGACCGCTCATGTAGGGCGGGCAGGGTGGGTGAAGTCTAGGCTCGCCACGGCCACACTCCTCAGTCACTCGGTGGGGCGCAGCGTGCTACAGATGGAAAGGAGCTGGGGACCAACATCTGAGAACACAAAAAACTCTTAGAGGACGACAGCATGCGCTATCGAAAGAGCGTGAGACCCCAACGCCGTGAGACCGGCAGTGCATAACCGCCCCTGGTACGCAGGCAATTTCGAGCAATGGGCCCCCCTATGGATTTCTTCGAGGAGGCCACCTGCACCATTCGAGAACATCCTGCCGAGGAATCAGCCTCAACAGAAACAATTACGCAAACGCATGTTTCACTGATTTTTAACGACACGTTCATTTTCTCTTGGAGATGTCCCGCGTGCGGGTTCCTTATGTATGTTGCTTGCCGCGTGTACGCCTGAGCTGCTTCATAAATGACACCTTGGCGATGTGCCCATTATGTGGCACATGTGACGTGGTCATGTCTGCAATGTGTTTCCCTTGTGTCGTGTTGTCGTGTTGTCAAGGCAGCGCTGAGGCAGAGCGAGTACACAGGTCGTGCTCCAGTTGCATTTGCAAGACATTGGTAGTCATACTTGGAGTCCAGAGTGGTTGCACTTGCACGGTAATCGATACCATTAGGAAACATGCCATCCACAATCGTGACACAACCATCGCGCACTTTATGTATTTATGGCACGCTCATGCAACGTTATTGGCAGAGTGCAGGCACCGTGAGGGTAACAGCACGTTCTAGTTATATTCGCGGTGTTTGCCTGCTGGTCTAGAGTTGCTGCATGTACGGCTCAACGTTTTCGTGTGTATACATGAATGGTGTCTAACGCGTGACTTCAATTGTTTTCATGCTGTCTGACTTGCACATCAGCATCATCACTGGCTACGCATGCTGATTTTACATGTGTCCCGTGGCTGTATTACCTGCGCGTGGGTGATTCCGTAACAACGGAGTATGTGTTTCTGCGTGTGCAATCGTGCTGGGCGATTACAGCGAGACCGAAACGGACATGATCATCCTTCAAACTCAAGCACAAACAAAGAAACAACGCACCAACTTAGCTAAAACCAGCGACACCACGTCAATCAACGCCGAACCTGACCACTTGACGTACTTACCAACATATCGGAATTAACAAAACGACTCATGCCAACGACACCACTCCTCTCAACAATCATACTCCGACCATCGTTCTGTCCTATCGTGTCTGGTGTGTGGTGTGTGGTGTGGTGTTTGTTGTGTGGTGTTTGGTGTATGGTGTTCTGTGTTTGGTGTGTGGCGTTTTGGTGTTTTGGTGTTTTGTGTTCTTGGTGTGTGGTGTCATCTGATTAATGTGTGTGCTGTGTGATGTGCTGATTGATTGGTGTTTGTTTTTTTGTGATTGGTGCTGGGTGTGCGTTTTTGTGGGGGGGGGCAGGGATCTTCAACCGGGGAGCTCCAGGAAACCTCCACCGGGGAAACAATCCTTCTACAGGGGAGCCGATTCTTCCTCTGAGGAACCACTTGTTCCCCTTCTGTAACGGGGGCCCTGTCGAACCCAGTCACCAACTTTGTGAGACTTTCGACTGGACCACAACATGTGGGGCCCTACCCAGGGATAAGCGGGGGCGTCCACCCTCGGGATGGGTGCGTCCGACGAGAGCCACCCGAGGGAGTGTCCCGAATTCCCCTCCTTGTCTGAACGGCCTGCGCTCTGTGAGGCCGGGTGCAGAAGCAAAATGGTGTTGCATCTTCGGATAACCTTGACTGTCCCATCACGCCGTTATCCGCGTCGGATCGACTCATCCACATCGCAGCCATGTCGAATCCACGTCGAATCCGCGTCGAGTCCGCGTCGGGCATGCGTCGGACACCAGGAAGAGGTGGCCATGTCGAGGGCAGACGCGGTCCCCCGAAGTTGCAGCGTAACGGACGGGGGGGAGAGGCGGGGAGAAAGAAGATGCAGCCGAAGATGTGATCAAGAAACATCTCATTTAAGAGATCTGAGCCTATGTTCCAGAAATTCCCTGAAACACAACTAGGCCAACTTCTGATGCTAACGCTGGAAGGGCGATCACGCTCAAAAAAATGGGGCCAGCTTTCTGGCAAGTTGACAAAGGTAGGCTGGCCCAGCTTTTGGGGAGGAGGTTTCTCAATCAGATGCTCGACTCTTGGGTGCGCTCGCGCCACATCTGGCATCCTCGTCCCGCTCACCTGTCGCCTCCCATCCCGTTCGCTCCCCCTCTGATCGTCGAGTCGCATATCGAGTCGAGCCGGGATCCCTATAAAATATTGGCAGGGCTGGCCCACCGTAATTGGGGAGGGTATGGGAGGCGATGGGAAAAGAAGAAACGCACCCCATCCCAGCCGTGTGACAGGAACTGGGTGCCCTTGAACTGCAAGATAAACTGCAGCAACTGGAACCTGGCGGCGACACTTGCCGTGCCCCCTCTCCTTCCCCTGCCTGCCTTCTTAGAGGGACCTGGACCAGGAGGTCTTCGACCTCCTGAGATGCATGTCCTCAGTAGGGTTGGCGCTTGCACATGGCTGCGAGGTCCTCCCCAGATGGGGCCATTGTGCTGCCCATCTGCAGTGCTGGTTGCCGTTGCGGCGGCGCTGGCGGAGTGGACCAGGCTCCGCTGCGCTGACTCGCCGCTGGGGCATGTGCGGCGGCGCTTTCGAATGTCTGACCAGGTTTGTGCACGAAGACGGTCCAAGGTCCATCTCTGCAGCATCACTCCTGTCTCCATGACGCGGAATGTGAGGCCCTCGCATACACCAATGCCGCTCTTGCTGGTCATACTGGTACAGAGAGGGCGCGGCTTCGCTCGAAGACTGGCCTGGAGAAAGATTGCTGCGGAGCGCGCCAGCGGCGGCGCTGGAGGCGCCGCCAGTGGGGCCCAACGCAGATCCAAGAGATCCGCGCGAACATGCAAAAGTCTACAGTCCAAATCCGTTGTAGGGATACAAGGTGAGGATGCAAGGCCCTTGGAAGTCACACTTACAGCTTAGAACCCTCTAGACCTCAACATTGTCTAAGGATGGGCCGAAGAAGAAGGGGTGCAAGGTTAGCCATGATGAAGTAACGCATCCTTCCTGTGGATCTTGACTGTATGTTTATGCGGCTCTTAGAAGCATCCTAGATAGGGACCAAGTGGATGCGGTCGGAGGATCGCGCCGGATCGGTGATGCATCGCCGATGCATCGGCGACGTCGGCGGTGCATCGGCGCAATCGGCGTGGAGAAACTCTGGCTCCACAACGAGCCACATCGTCGATGCACCGTCGATGCGGAGCTATCCTTCGCCCCCATCTACTCTGCTCCTCTTCCTCCTCATCATCATAACCATCAGCATCATCGTCATTATCAGCATCATCATCAGCATCGTCATCCTCCTCCTCAGATTCATCATCATCATCATCATCACCACCATCATCACAATCATCATCGTCGTCGGCATCATCATCATCGTCATCACCATCATCATTACCATCATCATCATCATCATCATCATCATCATCGTCATCGTCATCAGCATCAGCATCATCATCATCATCATTATCATCATCATCATCACAATCACAATCACAATCATCATGATCGGCATCATCATAATCATCATCATCACCATGATCCTTATCATCCGCATCATCATCGCCCTCGTCGTCGTGGTCATCATCATCATCAGCAGCAGCAGCGTCATCATCATCAACATCGTCATCATCATCATCATCATCATCATCATCATTATCATCATCATCATCATCATCATCATCATCATCATCATCATCATCATCATCATCATCATCATCATCATCGTCATCGTCATCATCATCATCATCGTCATCATCATCATCAGGCCTCGCGGCGCGCGCTCGCTCCGCCAGTGATGGGGGAGAGCGCTGGCACGTCCGCCCCTCGGCCACCTTGGGGCGGCCATCCCCGTCGGACACCGACCAGCCTCCTGAGCACCGTCTCCAAAGGGGCCATGTCGGAAATCCTGAACCCCAAAACGTCTGCATCTCCTGGGGGCGCCTCTCTACTTCCGCCGCCTTCCGCCGAGCTTCCGCCGGCTTCTGCTGGCGGAGGCGGCCTCGTTTTGCTTCCGCCGACCTTCCACCGCCCTTCCGCCGCCTTCCGCTGCGGAAGAGATGACAACTCCTTCGATCCTCGAAGGCGAGGCCTTTTCTGGAACGCCGCTAGAGGCCTTCTAGACTTCGCTGCCCCGATACGCAACACGCGGCACGTGGCGTATATTGATACGGAGCTCAGCACGTAGACTGAACACGCTTAGGTCTGACGGGATGCGTTCGCCAAAGCGTGGGCCGATACGCTGAGCCAACACGTAACGTATTGACACGGACGTTTTAAGCACGATGCGTGCTGCGTCTCAAAACGGGCGTATCGAGGCAGGTAAGCTCCTAGATTGGGTCCGATCGAGTAGATGGGGTCGGAAGATTTCCGCGCGCCCCCGCCAGCGAGGGTGAGAGTGCTGGCATATCCGCCTCCGTGCGGTCACCTTGGGGCGGCCATCCCCGTCGGACACCAACCAGCCGCCTGAGCGCCGTCTGGCGTCGGCGCCTGGGGGGGAAGTGAGAGAGGGCAGGCCTTCTGAGAAGGCCGCGGGGCTTCTCAGAAGTCTGCTTCCAGGGAAATGGGGTATTTGGCAGTGGGGCCGCAAACCGCAGCTGCAATAGTTCGCTGCGTGGAACTATTGCGCGCAACTATTGCGAACTATTGCGCCCGCGGGCTCAAGTATTGCGTCATATTGCATGACCAGACGCAACTATTGCATCGTGACAGGCCAACTATTGCACAGTATTGCCTGCAAGCAAGCGAGGACACAAACTGGTGCATCGCAGAGATAAGCTATTGCGCTAGCGCGAGCAAGCTACTGCACCCCGACTATTGCACGAGGCACGGTGCGATGTATGCGCTCGCTTCCAACTGCTGCATGAACTATTGCGCGCACGCTTCGCGGCCCCATCCCCAGAGACCCCATAGCGCTCGCGCCCTCAGAGAAGCTGCCTCGGCCTTCTCCAGAGAGAAGGCCTGTCCTCTCGCACTGCCCCCCCGGGCGCCGCCGAACCGCCTCCACCGGGCCCAGGATGCAGCCCGGGCCGCCCGGCCCTTGCCCGTCGCCTGCGAAGCCCCGCCGCTGCCAGGACTGGTCCAGCTACTCCGGAAGGTTCCGCGAGGCTCGGGACATTGACGCTTGGGGACCTGGAGGTGGACAGCGTGTCGCTCCAAAGCGTGGTGGGCCAGAACTGGCGGAACGTATTCGCGCGCAGTGGGAATCACCAAAGAGATGCGCCAGGAGAGCGGCGGCTCTCTTATCCACCAGGGGCCTCCGGACGAATACTGGGCGCCAGCTCGGAGGTCGTGTTGACACGAAGGGAGCTCGACGCCCAGCAGAGGGGGACACGAGAGGATCAGGACACAGGCAAGGATCCAGTGCTCAGGCGGCACAGCACACGGCAACGTGCCACGCAATTTGCTTGCATGCCCGCTCCGGTTCTCCCTGGACCCCCTCCCCACTCCTCCCCTGCACAGTCATGCCCCCCCTTGGCGTTCGCAACTCATACGTCAGCTCCGCGGCTCATGGTGGGACTGGCCTGGCAACGCTTCTACCAAGATAATTTCGCGATTGCCCCTCAGCTGCCTAACATGCCTTTGCTCAGCCCGACCATGAACTCATCACGCTTGTCGATGACGAGGAATATCACAGCGTAAACCTACCCAAGGCATTATACGTGACACAAGCACTCGCACATGTGAGGTAAGTCCTTGTCTCGCGTTCGCGCCTAAGCTACTATCGCTACGTTCAGATGTCGGCACTACCTGACACTGCTAGCCACAAGCATGTGAAAGCCCACCAGCAACCTACAACACGATTTGTTTCAGCGCCACTGTTCTGGCAAACATCTGGAAAGCTGCTCTGTGGTTTCTTACCCCGCTGGCATGAGTAATGCCCCCGCGAAGTCTACAGGCAGGACGAGCAGAAGAGAAACGACCATGTGGGGTGGGGGAAGATGGGGGCTGCAGGCCAAAGAGAACGATCACGGGAGGAGGGGTTTGTGAAGAGAAGGAGAGATTCGGAGGTGGAGGTGAAGGAAAGACAATACCCAACAAAACTCGCGCGTGCGTGAGCCGACCTGTGTAGACGACGCCCACACAGAAGCCTTCGCGAGTACGAGCCAAGGAGAGAGGGAGAAGAAGGAGGAGTAGGAGAAGGAGGAGGAGGAGAAGAACGAGAAGAAGGAGGCGCAGCGTTGGGGCCTGAGGAGAAGAGGAGAAGGGAGACAACAATTTTGCTCGAATCCTCCGCCCAGCGACCGAACAAAGTCCGAGCTGCTGCTGCTGCCTGAGCTGCACGTTTCGGTGCCTTCACCGAGGCTGAACGAGCTCCACGGCCGGCCACGCCCCGCGGCTCAAGGCAAGTCGCAGGTCGACTCCCCGCACCGTTCCACGCGGCGGCGGGCTGGCTCGCAGGGCATCGTAGCGCCTCGCAGGATAGTAGTGAACATGAACTCTCGGAGGTCCGCGCGGATTTCTTGGATCCGCACTGGATCCCCCATCCTGGCGCGCGGAGCGCGCCAGGGGCGGCGCGAGAGGCGCCGCCGCGCTTTTTCTTCTTCGAATTCGGGCGACGAGATCTGCGCATCCACGCCGCACCCCAGCGGGAGACCCTACCAGGGGCGGCGCCAGGGTGTTTGGACCGCCCCGGGGCTACTCGGGGAGATTCCTCCTCCTTTCTCCTTTCTCCCTCCTCCTCCTCCTCCTCCTCCTCCTCCTTCTCCTCCTTGCTCCTCCTTGCTCCTCCTCCTCCTCCTCCTCCTCCTCCTCCTTGCTCCTCCTCCTCCTCCTCCCCCTCCTCCTCCTCCTCCTCCTCCTCCTCCTCCTCTTCCTCCTCCTCCTCCTCCTCCAGGCCCATCCTGGGCCCAGCAGCGGCGCACATGCCTCCCTGCCCAGGCCAGCACGGCGTAACTGCATGCCGATATCCTGGGCACGGCTTGGGCCGGGCCATGGGGCGGTGCACCGTGGGCGGTTTTTGTGGAAACCCTGAACCCCAATCAATTTTTCGTCGACTGCAGTTAGGTCGGGCATGCCCTCCTACAGGGGGATGTTGGACGCATAATAAAACATGTTAAACATGCTCAAGAATGGTCAACACCTACTCGAAAAGTCGTCCCCAGACTACGTCTTCGACTAGTTTATAACCTGCAGAGGGACGTGCCCGACCCGACTCAAGACTACACGCAAGAGTGGCCCTGGGCAAGAGTGACTTTTGGTGCGCGGCTCTTGGGGGGGCCGCGGGGGGGGGGGGGGCCAAACACAAACGCGCAAGACGCTACTGTCGCATCGCGTTCAGCAATCGGGGGACCCCAATGTTGCATCCTCGGGGGACCTTGTCTATCCCGTCGCTGCCCTATCCGCGTCGAATCCGTGTCGAATCCATGTCGGACTCGTCAGATTCGTGTCGAATCCGTGTCAAACCCACGTCGAAGCCACGCCGAGTCCGCGCCGAGTCCGCATCGAGCCCAGCTCGGGCACAAGAAAAGACACCCATTTCGGGGACAGGCGAGGTCCCCCGAAGATGCAACGTAAGGACCTCCGTGGGCCCGCCCCAAAGGCCACTCCGGCGAAGGGTCACTCTTACGCGTACTCGATTCCATCTCTTGGGGTCGTGCTCTTTACCTCCGCCGCCTTCCGCCGGCCTTCCAGCGGCTTCCGGCGGCGGAGCTGGCCTCGCTCTACTTCCGCCGCCCCCCCGCCGACCTTTTCCGCGGCCTTCCGCCGCGGAAGAGACGGCAACTCCTTCGATCCTCGAAGGCAAGGCCCTTTTCGAAACGCTCCGTGTGTAGATCCCGGCGCCCGAGCGCACCGCTGCCTCTGGTGGCGCAGCTCCAGAGCGCTGCGTCCATTCGGGACTGCGGCGGGGTCGCGCGGCCACGCGGCAACCGGGCGCGCGCGAACACGGATTCCCGATCCGTGGACTTGGCGAGAGTGGGACTTGCCGTCGCTCGGACGTCCATTCCCCGTGCATGTTTCGGTTTCGTGCGTGTTTTCTTTCTTTTTTTTGTTGCTCGATGGTCCAGGATGCTCCTCGATGGTTCCCGCCGAGAAAAAATGCACACGCCCGAGCGATGTCAAGGGGAGCCAGAATCGTGGCTCGGGGAAGGTCGCTCCCGAAACACGGGGCCAATGCCGCCCACATCGGCGACGGCGCGCGCCGGTTCCGTGCGGAAGCGCGACCCGCCGCTCGTCCACGCACCTCGGTCCACGATGGCGCTTTGCTCGGGTCAGGGCCTGGATGTATGCAGTCGACCCGGAGAATGAGGACGCGCGATGAGGACGCGAGGGCCCTGGAAGGCCATGCCGACACCCTGCGAGCGGGGCGCGGCCAGCGAGAGCGGCCAAGGATGGGCCGATGTGGAAGGATGCAAGGGCAGCCTTGGAGAGTTGCTCGTCCTCCCGTTATGCGGCTGACTGCAACTTCCCTCGCGCTGGCCTGCGCGCTTGCGGGCGCTTGCTCGGCCGAGGCTCGGGGAGGGGGGGCCCGCAGGCCTCGGCACAGACGATCGGCTGGCTCACGCGCGGAGGCGGGCCACGGCGAATCGGGGCGGCGACCGCTGCGCTCCGGCAAACATCGGGGACAGGACCATCAGTCCCCGACTCGGCCAGCACGTCCTCTCACGCATTGGATACGCAGAAAGCATCTATACACCACCACCGTGCCAGGCCAGGGCCATCCTGGGCCCTAGGATGGTGTATACGCCCTCCTGGCCGAGCCAGGAGGGTCTGTACACCATCCTACGGCCCAGGATGGCCCTGGCCTGGCACGGTGGTGGTGTATAGATGCCTTCGTCGGATTGGACTTGCGTTCAGCTCCAGCACCGCGGCGTTCCGTTGCATGTACAGGTTATGGTCGCGTGTCTTGGAGGCCATGGTTCCCCCTGAAACGCCGCTCTCAAGTCGGTCTTGCCCGTGTAGGTCGTGGCGGCCAACACAATGCCGGCGAGCGTGACACGCCAAGCACTCTGCCTCTTGCACTAGTAAGCGTTTGCGAAATCCGGGTTTCGGCATGAGGCCGAAGGGTGGGAGAGGGGGGGGAGGTTCTGGCTCCGGGGCAGTGCTCAGTCGATCTGATTGGTGGGCCTGGGGGGGACTGGCTGGGGGGGTAGGCTCGTGACCGTTGCTTCGCCACTGCTGTCTGCGGGGGTCTGTGACATGGCTGCGCAGGATTGCGCGAACGCTGTGCAGGACGACTCGTTCTGCCATCTGCATTTCCGGACGAATCCGGAGCCCTGGAGGCCTCTTGATTCCCCGAAAGAGGAAGAGAGAGGGAGAGAGAGAGAGAGAGAGAGCCCAGAGTGAGGCACGGTCGTGCGAATCGGCGATTCGCTGGTCCAGACGGGGGAAGAGGGGGGGGGGCCTGGCCCCCTGTGCTCATCCGGCCCGGGCGAAGCAGCTGCTCGAGTCAGCCAGGATCTGGTCCAGGGCGGGAGCATGTGGGAAAATCCGGACTATTGTTGGCTCTATTATTTTCGAATGTTCCCCCTGTAGCGGAGCGTGCCCGACTTGAGGTCACACCCCCGCTCAGAGTTGAGAGAACTTTACGCGGAGCAAGCGGCCTTCCACTCCACAAGCGATTTCTCACAAGGCGGCCCAGGTCCAGAGATGCGACAGTTCTTCGACAAGATCAGCTCCAAGAAAACGCCCAGGGCCCAGTCTGGAGTCTTGATTCCTTGAGCGAGATATGGAGTCCATGAGAGTCGACGCGCTTTCTTAGGATGTCTGATGGGTGAAAGTGTAGCAAGCGCGCCCACGGCCACAAGGGCCGAAGGCCACCCGCGAGCTCGGCCAACGAGTCAGCCTCCAACTCACCCAAGAGACCCGCAGAGGGCCAGCTAGGACCTCTGCTGCTCGGGCTGCGATCGCCTGGCTCTCCACGTCATGAAATATGTGAGCGTCTCTGTGCGGCCCCCGCCCAAAGGTTGCATCTGTGCGAATGCACCCTCAGCCAAGCGGTGCGTCTCGCGCTGGACCTCCAGCTAGGCAGCGGTTGAGTGCAGATGGCGATCGGCTGTGGAAAAATCTGACAACCACCAATTGCAACGATGCGATACGAAAAGCCAGGCACCCAAGTAGGTTTGGGTTTGGCGTGCCACGTGAGCTTTTCCAGCTGTGAGAAGCCTGGCGACTTGGAGCCGAACGCCAGGTCCTGCCGTCGCTCGGACGTCCATTTCCCGTACATTTTTCGGTTTCGTGCGTGTTTTTTTTTTTCTTTTCCTCGATGGTCCAGGATGTTCCTCAAGGGTCCTCGCCGAGAAAAAATGCACACGTTCGAGCGATGCCAGGAGGTAAGCACAGCCCAGCCGCATCGGCTACCTGCGCCTAGGGCCCTCGCTGCCGGTCCTCCAGAGGCGCCCCGTGCGCCCCGCCATGCGGTGCAGGGGCAGCTGGTCGGGTGGGCATCTCTGCCACGGGCCCGCTCGGACGTCTCCGAACAGGGCGAGTGACGGGCAGGGGCACGAGACTTTGCGACCGAACAGCGGGACGGTCGGCAACTTCGGCGATACGGGTGCTCTTCCATGTCATGCAATTCCATGCAGAAAAGACTGCAGAGCTCAGCGAGGACGGGCAACAGGATAATCAGCGGAGAGAAGACGCAGCAGGAGAGGGAGGAGAGGGGTAATGGGTCATGACATCGAGGAGCAGCAGCAGGGAGGCGAAACATGACCTGGAGAAGTAGTCGGGGGAAATGTGGGTGGGTGGGGGACAAGGGAAGAGGAAGAGGAAGACGAGGACGAGTGGTCGGACCCCGCCGCAAGGTTCCTGTCTGTGTAGCAGGCGGTTGAGTGCCCCGCGGCTGCACGCCATGCAAAGGTGGGTGGGGGGGTTGTCCAAGCATCTTCCATGCATGCTTCACCTCGCGAGGACTGGGCGGAGGGCACATTCAAGGTCTCGCAAGTCCACGCCAGCGTCCCTCATGCAAAATGCCGCCTCGATGTGGTCCAGGGCTAGACCTAAACGTTGTGTTACGTTGTGTTTCGTTGTGTGTTCGTTTTGCTTCGCGTTTTGCTCTACCTGCTTTCCTGTACCTCCCTCTCCAAACGAACAACAGAACACAGCCGAAGTCCAGCAAACCAGCGTTTAGGTGTAGCCCTGATGTGGTTTTCAGGCTTCTTTAGCGTTCCTGCTGCTGCTGCCAGACATCTGACGCCAACCGTCCCTCCGAGAACCAGCGCGTAGAAGCCGCTGACCTCCCACATTCCGGCTGAGTGAGCATCGCAGCGCAGTCGCGGGGCGCGGGATGACGATCGGCAGCAGGAGAAGCTGGAGGGAGGCGCAGGAGGGAGCAGGAGCAGGAGGCACGAGGTGGAGACAGGACGGACGAAGAGCAGAAGGAGCAGAGGGAGGGAGCAGGCAAGAGCAGGAGGGAAGCACAGGAGGAGGCCAAGGGGCAGCAGCAGGAAAAGCGGCCGCAGCAGCAAGAGCAGGGGAGCAGGACCAGGAGGGAGACGGAGGGCACGGTGAAACCAGAGAGCTTTCCAGCAGCGATCGCGTAGTTGGGTTACAATCGAGGCGCTGACCTAAGGAACCCCAAATAAGGAACGAGGCCTCTTTTTCCATAAGTTGAACTACGATTTCCCATCGAAAAACGAAGGAACACCTTTGGCAACCAGTGAAACAATTCAGCAACGCCGAACCCCTCTCCCCAACGAAAAATGTTCCTTCTTCAACGCCCCGTCTGTACTCTGCCAGGCTCTAGAACGTGCCGAAAGACTTCCGGATGCGAACCTTGGTGGCCATGGAGCGCGCGACGGATGCACGCCTGCGCGCGCACCGAGCTTCCGGCGGGAGGAGCCCTCCCGCGAACTTATCGTAGCCCTCGAAGTCTGCGGTAAATTGGCGGAATAAGATGACTAAATTACGAAGAGAAAAGCCCCAATCAGTGGATGGTTTGAAATGGGATCGATAAAGAGATCGATAAAGAGATCGACAGGGAACCTGGGAACCTGGAACCCACCGAAATCGGACCGGAACCAATGACCAGGAACCCGGGAACCCAGAGCCGGGAACCAGAACACAGCTGGCCACCAAAATCGGCGGGACACTTTCGCCAAGTCCTTCAATCCCACCAGCCCTCTGGGCGTCGGTGGTTTAGGGCGTTTCCTCTTTCACCCCTCCTTCTTCCCCTTCGGGGAAGGGTTTATCACTGTTCCCTATTAATAAACACCCCCTCCCCCAGGCGACTGGGGGCCAACCCAGGTCCATGACAACATCCCCCCACCATCCCCTGTAAGAAACCATACAAAACACACTCTGCCTCCCAATTCGGAACATGCGCAGCCAACCCGATGCGGCCCCCCCCCACCATCCCTGTCAAAAAACAGTACAGAGTACACTTGGCGGCGGCGGCGGCTGCGGTGGCTGCGGCGGCGGTGGCGGCGGCTGCTGCGGCTGCGGCGGCGGCGGCGGCGGCGGCTGCTGCGGCGGCGGCGGCGGCGGTGGCGGCAGCGGCTGCGGCGGCGGCGGCGGTTTGGCAGCGGGGGGACGGCGGCGGCGGCGGCGGCGGCGGCGGCGGCGGCGGCGCGGCGGCGGCGGCGGCGGCGGCGGCGGCGGCGCGGCGGCGGCGGCAGCGGCGGCGGCGGCGGCGGGCGGCGGCGGTGGCGGCGGCGGCGGAGGCGGCGGATTGGTCCCCAGTAGCTGCCCATCCAAAGACGACTGCTGAATATGCTGAAGCTCGGGCCAGACTCGGGTGCTACGTATGTGTTGGGAGGGCGGGTGGGAGTGAGCGAGACGGCTTGTGGGCGGGGAGGGGGTCTTGACCCCTCCCCCTACCCCCTCCCCATGGACCTGGACAGCGGGGTCCGCGAGTCGCCAGAGCGTCCAAAACGGCCTCGGCGAGGAAGCCAAAATCATCGGTTTTACTATGGTTTTGGCCCCATTTTGGCCTCTTGGGGGGGGGGACGCTAATTAAAGCGCCCCTCTTGTTTGATCGATCTCCTCCAAGATGACCCCAAGAAGCGCCCAAGAGGCCCCAAGAGGTCCCAAGATGGCCCCAAGATGGCCCCAAGAGGCCCCCAAGAGGCCCCCAGGAGGCTCCCAAGAGGATCCCAAGCGGCCCCAAGAAGCCCCCCCGAGGCACCCAAGACGCCGAAGAGCCCCCCACGACCGCCAAGAGACCCCCAAGACGTCCCAAGACGCCTCCGCCCTGATCTTGGCTCGAGATGTTTGAGGGGGCCCTGGGACACACAAATAAATACACACAAATAAACATATTCCCCATATTTTCGCATATTTTCTGGCTTTTTGTCTTCCCCTCCCCATTTCCCATATTTTCTGGGACATCGACGATTCATTGTGTCTGTGTGTTTTTTTCCCTCCTGAATGTTCGAGGGCTGGGGGCTCGACCTCCGCGCTCTCCTCGGCTGCGCGCCAGAGCGTCTTTAGGGGGCCGAGGGGGGTCCCGATCCAAGTGCGAGCGTCAGTGTTTTGGGGGAGACCCCCGTGGGCCCGCACCAGAGGTGGAGGGCTCCCAAATGAGGTCCGAGCAAAGGGGGTCTGAAGATCGCGCCGCATCGCCGATGCATCGCCGACGTCGGCGACGCACCGGCGTCGTCGGCGTGGAGAAAATCGGGCTCCACATCGAGACGCATCGTCGGTGCATCGGCGATGCGGCGCGGTCCTCCGACCCCATCTACTCTTAGGTCGGGCATGTCCTCCTACAGGTTGGTTGTGGGAAAAACATCGAACAATCATCCATAATAGTCCAGAGAGCACGAAACATCGCCACCATACTCTGTTTTAACTGGTCGTATTGGATGTATTCCTCCTGTAAAGGGACATGCCCGGCTTAAATCTACTCCGACCCCATGTCCCATGTAGGAGTCCTGGAAAAGGTGAGGGGCAACGAAGGGGTGGGACTGGCATAGGGGGGATGCATCGACCTGGAATCAGCGACACATCGCCGACAGATCGGCGATATGCCTCTGACGGTAAGCCCGAACCTTCCTGGGCAGCTTGGGGCTATTGGGCCCCTATCGGCGATCAATGGACGATTGGGGGGCTATTCATCCCCCCCTTAAGTATGCCTATTCCCCCCCTATCGTTAGGAGGAGGAGGAGGAGGAAGAGAAGGAGGAGGAGGAGGAGGCCATGTAGGAGGAGGAGGAGGAGGAGGAGGAAGGGGAAGAGGATGAGAAGGAGGAGAGGAGGAGAAGGAGAAGGGTGAGAAGGAGGAGGATCATGACGACGAGCAGGAGCAGCGGGAGGAGGAGGAGGAGGAGGAGGAGGAGGAGGAGGAGCAGGAGGAGGCCACGCAGGAGGCCTGGAGCGGGTCACTCTGGCGCAGGGCCACTCTGACAAGCAGCCGGCCCCTCCTCTGCCGGCAGGCGCGGGCCTGGTCCCCGGGCCCGGAGCGGCGCTCCCGGGGGGGGGGAGGGCTGCCCACCTGCCACGGGCACCCAGACCCCCCAGGGGGGGGGGGGGGGGGGCGGCCGTGCCGCGGCCGTGCGCCGTCGCCGTCCTCCTCCTCCTCCTCCTCCTCCTCCTCCTCCTCCTCCTCCTCCTGTTCCTGCTGCTCCTCCTCCTCCTCCTCCTCCTGTTCCTGCTCCTACTCCGGTTCCTCCTCCTACTCCTACTCCTACTCTTACTCCTACTCCTACTCCTGCTTCTCCTCCTCCTCCGTCTCCTCTTTCTCCTCCTCCTCCGTCTCCTCCGTCTCCTCCGACTCCTCCTTCTCCTCCTCCGTCTCCTCCTCGTCCGCGTCCTCCTCCTCCTTGTCCTCAGCCTCCTCATCCTCGTTGCCTGTCGTCGTCCTCCTCGTCGTCCCAATTCCACGAGCCCTCTCGGCGTAGGTGGTTTGAGACACATGACTTGATCGGTTCGGCCGAGGGATACCGGCTTCCTCAGGTGCTTGCCTGGCCCCCCGCTGTCTTTGGTGACTGACGGTGGTCTGAGAGCAAGTTGTCCAAACTATCCTCCTCCTCCTCCTCCTCCTCCTCCTCCTCCTCCTCCTCCTCCTCCTCCTCCTCCTCCTCCTCCTCCTCCTCCTCCTCCTCCTCCTCCTCCTCCTCCTCCTCCCTCAAGCCATTTCGGCCTGCAGGCGGGCGCGCGCGCGTGCCCGTGCGGGCCGAGGCTGCAGGGCGCGCACCATCGGCGGCGGCGGGCTGGGGCTCGCTGTGCGCCGACTCGCGGCTTGAGGGGGGCGGCAGCAGCCGCTGCAAAAGTCCCTGCAGCCCCAGCATTACATGATCAGGGGCCGCGGCTGGAAACGAGATGAGGAGGAACAAAGCTCGAGAGCGTCATGGGGTGCACCCTGGCGCTCATCTTCGAGATCTTCCAGCTGCAGGCCGCCCAACACGAAGGGCAAGAGGCACACGCAGTACCTGGTATGCCCTGTTTGTCCTATGGGCAGCGGCAGTTGGGTCTATAGCATTCGAACAGGTAAGCCTGGGTGGACCAACTGCAAGTCGTGCGGATACGAGTGGAAGGCACCCAGCACTGGAACATGCGCTGAACAACCAGAAGACGGAGGAGTCTCGGACGCGGCCAAGGCAATGATGGAGCTCCTCAGGAAGCAGTACGTCCTGGCGCAGCAGCAGAATGACCAAGTCAAGATGGATGAGATCGTGGCGGCATGCCCAGGGGCCAAGCCGATCGACCCTGTCGAGCCCGCCGAACCATCCATGGGGCAGAAGCTCCAGCAGGCGGTGGCGGAACTCAACAAGCTGCAGAAGCAACAGGACAAGCTCGCCAAGCAGCTCAAGCGGGCCACCGATTACCGCGACGACGTGCTCAACAGGATCAGCACCAACGTGGCCGAGCTTGCAGAGGCAAAGAGGGTATTCACGGAGGCAAGAGAAGGACTGGGTGGGGAAGATGAAGTACCTGAAGCTGAGAAGAAGCAGCCAGATGATGAATAACAGTTCCCGACCCTCTCCCAGGAGGACCTGGCCATGCTGGACGAGAAGCAGCAAAAGGAATACGAGCAGATCCAGAAATAATACCAGTAGGCCAAGACGTTCACCAACGCAAAGAAAGAAGCTGTCCAGAATGCCAAGAAGGCGCTCGACGCTGCCAAACATATCCACGAGAAAGCGAGTAAAAGACGTCGTGGAGGCCAAGGCGAAGCTCGTACGGATCAGGCACCTGCGGCAGCACCATTCTCGGAACCCGTCTCACCAGAGCAGCCAGCTGGAGCAGGAAAGCCTATGGATCCTGATCTCAGATTGGCAGCCAAATATGACCTCTCCAAG